TAGTGTTTATCAAAATTTCCTAATAATTTGTGGCAACCATATATGATTTTTTCACCATATGTAACAACATTTTAAAATACAGTGGAAACTTTTTCCTATCAAAACCAAAAACTGAACAATCACTATTTTTATAGACAGCTGGTTTGTGACCATATTTTTTTCTCATGGTGTTGTTAACAAAACAATATTTCAAAATTGGTGGTTTAACTTTTTGTACCTTTTTCTGTTTTCTTCTATAATTTAGACCAAGTGAATGAAATTTTTCTCTGATTACTAGTCTTGATCAAGAGTTTTGAAAAAAAAAAATATGAAAAAAGAATGGATACAGGGCAATACAAAGTATATGATAATATAAAGTTCATGCATTTGATGAAGGGTGTTATAATTTTTATTTCTTTGCTTGTGATTACCATAGAGTGGATGCAACTGGAGATAAACCTGAAGACTGTGATGAGAAAGTCAACTGTGAAGACCTTGTGAAATATCATCAACTGTTGTTTCCAGTGGAGCATATTCAGATGGTTGATTCTGAAGACGGTTTGAATAAATGCGCTGAGATACTGTTTAAAGTAAGTTGTCTGTTTAAAAAATAATAATAAGATGAAAGAATAAAAATGTCCCTCCTTTTCTTGTTTCCTTAATCTACGGATTATGGCAGCACTATACATGACTTATCTAGTCTGATTGCGCATCGCAATATTACAAGGTATATTAATAAAAAGATACCAGGATGTGTGACCTTTAGGGATAACAAAATACCAGGATGTGTGACCTTTAGGGATAACAAAATACCAGAATGTGTGACCTTTAGGGATAACAAAATACCAGAATGTGTGACCTTTAGGGATAACAAAATACCAGGATGTGTGACCTTTAGGGATAACAAAATACCAGGATGTATGACTGTCACAAGGTTGAATGATATTCAGCACAAACAATTCTGCCCGTGAAGGATACCATCCAACACTCGTGATTGTGGGTTCTTTTATTTTACCCATAACAAACAGGGCCACATGGAACCTCTCGATAAATAACCAGATTAGAATCGTAAGATAGTAATTGCAGGGTATAACGTCACTCTTATGTAATGAAAACACAATATTGGTAAAATTAATAGATTTAATACACTTATGCAATAGCACGTACAATAAATAAGTGTCTCCAAACAATACAATCAATAATAACAATCAATACTACAGCCTCTGGAATTCCCTATACTAATGTGAGTGTGTGTATGGGTTACCGGTAACAAATGCCATGGTCTTTGTAGTCAGTCCGTGATGGTATCAAATCTATGATTCCCTTGTCTTCAGTCAGCACGATATTCAGTGGCTTGGTATGTTCTCATCACTATTAGTGGCTTCCATTATCGGCCTAGTAGACCTCTTTGGTCAGTCTTCATGCAGC